CTATACTATTATAAGTCTCAACTATGTACTAATTAAACTAAATAAACTGTAAATTACATATAAGCTTGAGTTGAGTTAATAAAAATTTCAAATAAAACGTAATTAAAGTGTTTTCAAACCACAAATTGGGGGCTCAACCGGGATACCCTCCACAAAATACTCAATTAAACTCTCCTCGTCAAGGTTTATAGCATTCCCTATCTCCATCAAACAATACAAGTACTCACGTAGAGTCTCTGATGGTTTTTTCCGTCTGCTTTTCAATATTTTATGGACTTCGACAGCTGATAATTTTTTACCGAATTCTTTGTTTAATGCTTCTTTCAACGTTTTCCAGTCGCAGATATTAGATTGGCTTCTAACAAATGCTGTAGCATCTCCCTTCAACAATTGCCGCGCATAAACAAATTTTTGTAACTCGTTCCATCCTAGAGTGAACGCATTATCTTCGAAATCTCTGACCCACTGACCTATATTTGGGTACCCTACGCCCGTGAAATGTACCATCGAGTCCTCTATATCACGCAATGTAAAGTGTGACGGCTGAGCAGTCGATACTTGTTGGGAGACCCCGGCCGCGTCACCGTATAAAGACACATTTTGCTCTGAATCGGATGCCCCATTATCATCATACAGCCCTAAATGCTGGAGCAACCTTGTTTGTAACTCAACTTTTCGTCCTGTTGTGCTTAACCCCAGTTCTGTTAATTTTTCTTTCAGTCCGTCCACTGTTAATGTTGAAATTGTCTGCACGTCCATATTGTAAGCAATTAATTTACAAAAATACTTAAGAAAGCGTTTGAAAATACTTAAGTTCGTATCAGCTTCGATATTATCAAACTTTTATAAAATTCTTATTTACTTCTTCAATTTTAATTCCATATGGCAAATTTTATTTGCAGATAAACATTTACATTTGAATTCTAATTGGAACTTCTTCAATACATTGCTTTATTAGAAAATATATACTTTTTGCTTTCTCTAACTTTCGTTCCTTCAATGTATTTTTTGTTCTGAGCTGCAACTATTTGTCTCCTTCAAAATTCTTAACATACATATTTAGTCTGTTATCCTCTTCCCTCAATATTGTCTTCTACATAAATTTTCAAATTAACGTTTTTGTTACTTCGACACTCCCTCTTGCTCTTTTTTACATATGCCTGTGTTTTACTCTCCTACTTCTTTACACTAACATCTTTTATTTCGCTTCTTTACTTCAAGCTCACATTAAGATTCTCTTCTTTTCTATTAGATTTTATCTGAACTTCAATTTTGAATTCCCTTTTCTTTACAATTTACCAATTGGAAATTTTTATTTTAAATTCATTTGCATATTTTCTCTTACACCTAACTACAAAATATCATATCTACTTAGCTGCTGTTAGTGCTGCAACTGCTTCCTTCTTCACTCTGCTCTGCTGATGATTCCAACTAAATTTTGTTCTGCTACCACTGGAGTTCATTTATGAAATCCTGCCGACGATTCTGTTGCTACCTACGCTTCTGCGGTTGGGCAAACTGCTACTACTGCGCGCATCTCTGCTACTATTGCGCGCACTTCAACTGCTACGCGCACCACTGTCACTACGGGCGCCTTTGCTTTTCGCACGCCTCTGCTACTGCGGGCGCCTTTGCTTTTCGCACGTCTCTGCTGCTGCGGGCGCCTGTGCTTTTCCGCGTACCTTTGCTTTTTCGCACGCCTCTGCTACTGCGCGCACTTTTGTTACTGCGGGCGCCTGTGCTTTTCGAACGCCTCTGCTACTGCGCGCAATTCTGAACGCTAAGTTTAGTTCTTTACAGTTTTTTTTTTCCACATAAAGGCAATTGCAGCACAACAAACTTTTTACGCACATACATCACTTTGTGTTAAGCTGTTTTCTTTAAAGTTTATAAACCTTTTTGCCAGCGGCTTTCGCAATAAGCACTAAAGGAGCGTCTCATTTCGGCTGAGCCAATAAAAAGGGTGGGCTAGGTGGGGATCAGGCGGATGAAAAGGTCAGTCAGAGCATCCGTGAACTAACAAAAGAATTTCAACAAATCTGTCTGTCCAACATCGCTGAAGTGGGGGATAAAAAGAAGGATCACGATTTAGATCATTTGAGTAGCGAGCACAAGAGTGAACTAACCCATCTCATTGAAAGTTATAGTCCGAAAAAAAGTATGCCTTCTCCCGTATCAATGAAAATTATTTTGAGAGACGAAACTCCTGTGTACAGTCGCCCGAGAAGACTACCGATTTCGGATCTGGGAATAGTTGACAGGCAGGTGAGAGACTGGTTAAATGAAGGGATTATCCGCCCTAGTGCATCCGAATATGCGTCACCCATAGTTCTGGCAGCGAAAAAAGATGGTTCTAAGAGACTTTGCTGCGACTATAGGAGATTGAATGAAAAGGTTATACGAGACAACTTCCCAATGATTTTGATAGACGACGTCTTACAGAGATTAGAAAAGGCAAAGGTTTTTACGACTCTAGATTTAAAAGATGGATTTTTCCACGTTCCAGTGGAATCTCAGTCTAAGAAATACACGGCGTTTGTCACGCATAACGGCCAATATGAGTTTAACTTTGCACCGTTTGGGATTTCGAATTCGCCAGCAGTTTTCTGCAGATTTATTTCTGCCATTTTTCATGAACTTGTACAAGAGGGGACGGTAGTCATTTACATGGATGATCTTATGGTCCCATCAAAAGACGAACATGAGGGAATCGAGAAGTTGAAAAAGGTTCTAGGAGTAGCCGAATCATATGGTCTCAGAATGAAATGGAGCAAATGCCAATTTCTGAAGAGGTCTGTAAATTTCCTGGGTTACATTATCGAAAATTCAACAATTAGAGTTTCCAATGAAAAGACAAGGGCGGTTAAGGACTTTCCGGTGCCGAACGACAGGAGGTCACTCCAGCGCTATCTGGGGCTCACTTCTTATTTCCGGCGTTTTATCCCCAACTACGCAGCAGTTGCAAGACCATTAACAGATCTTTTAAAGAAAAACATCAAATTCACAATGGGGGACGAACAAATAGCCGCAATACAACAATTAAAAGACGCGTTAACGAGTGCACCCGTACTGAAGATTTATGATCCTACAGCATCAACTGAGGTTCATACAGACGCCAGTAAATACGGTTACGGTGCAGTTCTCTTACAGAAAGATAGTGAAGACGGACAACTACACCCTGTCCAGTATATGAGTAGAAAGACAACACCAGCAGAGCAAAATTATCATTCTTACGAACTGGAGGTGCTTGCCATTATCGAAGCCTTAAAAAAGTGGCGAGTTTACATTTTGGGAACCAAAATCAAGATAGTGACGGACTGTAATGCCTTCGCAATGACGATGCGAAAGGACGACGTGCCCCTGAGGGTCTCTAGATGGGCAATGTTTTTGCAGGAATTCGACTACACCATCGAACATCGCTCAGGGCCCAAAATGCAGCATGTCGATGCGTTGAGTCGAGTCATTTGCCTAGCAGTTGGTGACACCTTACGCCATCGCATTAAGGAAGCACAGTTGAAAGACGAATGGACTCATGCTATTAGAATTACTCTAGAGGGAAACAGTTACGAAGATTACTATTTAAAATACGACATTTTGTATAAGGATCCGGCTAAAGAACTTTTAGTAGTACCAGCGGTAATGGAACAGGAAATAATAAAAATTGCACATCAGCAAGGTCACTTCGGTACAAAAAAGACGCAGGATATGATAGGAAAAAGTTTTTACATTCCGAACCTAAGTCCAAAAGTAAACGCAGCAGTGAAGGCTTGTATCCAGTGTATTATTATAGATGCAAAAGCGGGTAGGAAAGAGGGTTTCCTTAGTCCCATAGACAAGACGGACAGACCACTCAATACGCTCCATATAGACCATGTAGGACCCATGGAGCAGACACAGAAGCGTTACAATCATATACTCGTTATCGTAGACGCTTTCTTGAAATTCGTATGGCTTTATCCAACGAAGAGTACAGGTGCAGCAGAAGTGATAGATAGATTGCAAAAGCTTGCAGTTACTTTCGGAAACCCTGAGCGAATCATTACGGACAGGGGTACAGCCTTTACGTCAAAGGCGTTTGAAGACTATTGCAAAAAGGGGATGATTCAGCACCTACTTATTGCTACAGGCGTCCCGCGCGGGAACGGACAGGTCGAACGCATCCATAAAATCGTCGTCCCAATGCTAGCGAAGTTGTGTACTGGAGATCCCAAATCATGGTACAAACACGTCGAACGTGTGCAACAAACAATTAACAATACACCCCCGCGCAGCACGAAACACACTCCTTTCAGAATACTGACAGGTGTAGAAATGCGTACAAATGACAACCCAGATATTCGAGCACTTATTCAGGAGGAAAATTTTCAAGGTTTAGAGGAGGAGCGGGATAAGATTCGCGAGGAAGCGAAGGAAAATATAGAAAAGATTCAGGAAGAAAATAGGAAATCTTTCAACAAAAAGAGAGTACTTGAAACGAATTATTCACCAGGGGAGTTAGTGGCAATAAAAAGGACTCAGTTCGGTTCGGGATTAAAACTCAAAGCGAAGTTTTTAGGGCCCTATAAGGTCATCGGGAAACTCAATCACGGACGGTACTCAGTCGAGAAAGTTGGGGACTCCGAGGGGCCACGTAGAAGTTATGCTGTGGCAGAAAATATAAAAAAATGGGGCCCAGCATTCGGGTCGAATGCCCTGTCAGAATAGCCGAATGTGGGAATGCGACCCTGACATAATGCGACCCTGACATAATGCGACCCTGACACTTAACGAAAACTGAACCAACGCCGAAAGGAATAACGGGACTAACGGACGACCGACAAGAAGACCGTACTGGACAGTTTAGCACAAACCACCGGACCGATTAGACGCGTTTCGCAACTATACTATTATAAGTCTCGACTATGTACTAATTAAACTAAATAAACTGTAAATTACATATAAGCTTGAGTTGAGTTAATAAACATTTCAAATAAAACGTAATTAAAGTGTTTTCAAACCACACATAGATACATAGGTTATAAAAATCGATGAACGCAAAACTTATTTTCGTTTGTTTGCGCCCTTTACTTTCTTGCGTGGTGGTTCGCCCACTTGTTCAGAGTCTGTATCGGATGAGGATCTGTCTTCATCTGGAAAAAATCAATTGTTTTTAATCAGTCAGTTAACTTCATTTTGGTGACTTACCCTCGGAGGAAACTCCCATTGTATATTCTTCTTCTTCATCTTCATTGTCTGGATCGTACGTCTTCTGCGACCACCAACAAATTTCAGCCACCAGCGAATCGAGCCTTTTGCCTTTATATCGGGTTTCCATTGGCATTGCCACTTGATGGAAGCGCTCGCCATGTTCATCCGACTCTGAGGCTAGCTGCTTGCTGAAGTATTCGAGATGGTGATGCAAGAAGTGAATTTTGAGGGACATATTCACTCCAATTTTCTGGAAGTAGTGCAACATCTGGGTCACAAAAGCGGGGTAATTGTGTGCTCGTGTACTTCCCAAAAAATATCGTATGACTTTCTTCACTGCCCTCCACGCAAAGTAATCATTACCGTCTAAAGCACCTTTAAATTCCTTTGATTTCATGAGCTTTCATATATCCGGCCGATTCAGAACACCTTCCTTCAATTTTGCTTCGCTGATTCGTGGGAAAATATTTTTCAAACAATCAAGAATTTTCGGTTGCTTCACAATGGCCTTGATGAAATTTTTTACGATTCCCAGTTTGATATGGAGAGGGGGCATGAGGACGTTCTCCATTGGCACCAGTGGATCATTTACGCAGTTGTGTCCCTTCTCCGTTGGATCTCAAGCAAGCCAGTCATGCGTTTCGTATTGGTTTCCTTTAAATCGGATATCCCAAAGACACAAGAAACACATGTTTTTCGTATAGCCTCCTTGGAGACCTCTTAGGATCGCCACGACTTTCAGATCACAACTGATCCGCCACATGTGATCAGTGTAGCAAACTTTATCCAAAATTATTTTCATGGAATCGTATGTTTCGCTCATGTCTGTGCTGTAGCCAATGGGAATGCTTGGTTTTTTATTATATTTATGTAGCAAAACGACTTTCAGGCTTGGTTTCGAAGAATCGATGAACATTCGCCAATCAGCTGCGACATAATTAATAGCCATCGCCTCCGTCAGTCCCTTTATATCGTGGCAGTAAACAAATGTGTTCCCTTCGTTGAGTGTGTAGTACCGTTGGAATAGCAATTGTCGTCTTCGATATCCGGTGATTTTGACATTAGGCTCCAAATTGTTGCCTTCTTTCAAAAGCTGGGCAAGTTTTTCTGCTTCACGTTGAGAAAAGTTTAATTCTGCAACAATCTTGTTCATTCTTGCTTGTGATATTGGAATTATTTTGTTCGATGGGCCGGCTTCTGGTGTTGCTTTATAGGTGAAATCCGATGGATCCATTGTTTCAATAGAAAAAGAAGTTTCTCTGTCAGGACTTGGAAGCGGAGGAATTGGTATTTTATCCGAATGCGGTAGAGGTATTTGTGCACTTTTAACAGATATGTAAACTCTTCGTTTAAGGCCTTTACGATTTACTCCACATATTTTGTTTGCGCAAGCGTAACAGTTGTCGCAATTGTGCTCTCCTGGATCAGTCCAAATCATTGGTACACCAAAACGAAGTGAACTGCGTTTCCCTTGGATCCACATGTTAAGACCATTGTTGCACGTTTTACAAATTTTGTCTGGGACCCACGAAACGCCGCGAATTATTTCGGAATCAAAATAAAGTTTAAAAGCGCGCTCCACTTGCTCAGTGAGTAATGCAGTATTTGTTGAAAAAGCTCTTTTGCCACAAACGTAACAAAATAAATTGATATTTTCTGGACAATTTGCACTCATTTCGGTTTTATACTTTTATTACTTTTTCGTCACTTTAAAAAAATCGTACTTTACGCATTCGGAGACACTTGTTGAATGACAAAAATCGATCAATGAACACCTATAAATACTACGTAAGTTTCAATATTTTACTGAGAGGTACTTATGAATTGGCGCATCTTTTAAGGGTGGCTATATACCTGATTCGTGTGCGTTTTAAATTTTTCGAAACGTTCTAAAACATGACCACTCATAAATGTGGGTGCAATTTGTGTAAAAAAATCATGCAGGTA